GGGGGGGGGAGAGAGAGAGAGAGAGAGAGAGAGAGAGAGAGAGAGAGAGAGAGAGAGAGAGAGAGAGAGAGAGAGAGAGAGAGAGAGAGAGAGAAAGAGAGAGAGAGAGAGAGAGATCGCACGCACACACACACCCACACACACTAACACACAAACACACTAACACACACACACACGCAGTCATCCTATTACACCGCCGTATCCGATGTATGTCACACCATCCTCCCTTCCTTCTAGAACTTTCCCTGAAGTTTCCAGAAGTTTCTAGAAGTTTCCAATCACCTCAGTGTGTCACGGATGAGAGATGATCGAGGAGTTACACAAACTCTGCCTTGGTCGTGGGTTTATGTTCCCCGCCTCGTCGTCTCTTTAACGAATCTGATATTGATTTATAACTGTTGGTATTGTTGTTGTTAATGTTGCTATTGTTGGTGGTGGTGGTGTTGCTGTCATTATTATTGTTGTTGTTGTTATCGCTATAATCATTGCTCGTATTACTATTGCCACAATTACTAATGATAATATTAATCATAATGGTGATGATGATGATGATGATGATGATGATGATGTTGTTGGCAACGTAACATTTGCCCTTTAAGTACCTATTCCCTCGTGTTTCACACAATACAATACTTCACCGACTAAGAAACCCCTTATGGTACAAATACTCACTTTTAACGTATCTCTCTTTCTGTCTGTCTGTCTGCCCCCAACCCCTCTCCCTCTCTCTCTCTATCTGTCTGTCTGTCTATCTGTCTGTCTGTCTCTGTCTGTCTGTCTGTCTGTCTGTCTGTCTGTCTCTCTCTCTCTCTCTCTCTCTCTCTCTCTCTCTCTTACTCTCTCTCTCTCTCTCTCTCTCTCTCTCTCTCTCTCTCTCTCTCTCTCTCTCACACACACACACACACACACACACACACACACACACACACACATATATATGCATGTATGTGTGTATGTATGTATGTATGTATGTATGTATGTATGTATGTATGTATGTATGTATGTATGTATTTATATATGTATGTATGCATAGATGTATGTATAGATGTATGTACATATATATATATATATATATATATATATATATATATATATATATATATATATATACATATATATATATATATACATATATACATATATACATATATACATATATACATATATATATATATATATATATATATATATATATATATATATATATATATATATATATATATATATAATTGATCTATCTACATTTATACATAGGTAGACATATATATATATATATATATATATATATATATATATATATATATATATATATATATATATATATATATATATATGCATGTATGTGTGTATGTACGTATGTATGTATGTATGTATGTATGTATGTATGTATGTATTTATGTGTGTATGTATGCATAGATGTATGTATAGATGTATGCATATATATATATATATATATATATATATATATATATATATATATATATATATATATATATATATATTTATTTTATTATATATATATATATATATATATATATATATATATATATATATATATATATAATTGATCTATCTACATTTATACATAGGTAGACATATACATAGATACATAGATAGATACACAGACAGAAAGACGAAGATGAAGATGAAATATAAAGGAATAATAAGAATTTTCTGCAGATTTTTTCTTATCCTTCTTTTTAAGTAAGCACAGGATTACATTCTCAAAATAGCACTGCCTTTTGAAGTTAATTTCAGCAAAATAGCTAGTGCTACTTGAAACTATATGTTCATGTTCATTTCTCATGACAAAATATTTTTTCATGATTATTATTTGACGAATCAGTGTCCTATTTGCTGACAATATTTTTTTCACATATAAATAGAGTATTCACATGTACATGAAAAAGTTTAAATGTGCAACTGTTTGGATATTTGCATTCATCTATTATTCATTTCCATTATTTTTTGAACATTTGTTTGAAGGTGCATTTCAGCGGTTGGTGATGTTTGGTAGAATGGTTTACGTCCAAATAATAACACTGTTTCATATAATTGTCATCACTAATCTGTCGGTTATCAAATATCGCCAACCTGTCATCAGCTATCACCTAGTTCATAAGTATTTTTTTTGCTTCTAATAATAAGTATTCTTGCAATGAAGAGAAGCCTGTTATTTATAAACGTGTTTCCTTTCATTTTCTCGCTGTTTGTATTTTAGTTTCAATTTAGTTTCAATTTTAAAATTTCACTGTTGTATTGTTATTTGATATTACTTTGTATTTCGTATTTTATTGTTTCTCATTCTTATTTTGATACTGTTTCATTTGCTTTTCTGCTGTTATATTGCCTGTATTCCTATAAACTTCTTTATATTCATATTCATCCATTCCATTTATCGTGAACGTTTCGAAATATAATGTTCGACGTAAAGATTGAGTTTCCTTCAGCGTGGGTAAATATGCGTGCAGTACAGAAACATTTATGAACCGGCACAATC